ATGTTGAGTTTCAAGCCAGCTTTCGCGCTCTCCTCTTTCACCCTCATCAAGAGTTTCTTTAGTTCTTCTTCACTTTCTGCCATTAATCTAATAGTAGCAGCTTTCAAAAGTAATGAATACTGTACATCCATCTAGTGAACATGTATGATTTTCAACCAAATACAATATACTGTATTGCTTCCATTTCTTCTTAAAAGAAGGTAGTGTGCCATGCAGCAAAAATTATCCACCTTGTAATCAGTCTTATGACAATGAATTGGGGATAAAAAAAATAAAAACTTTACTATTCCATACTCCTGTTTCACAGTAGCTTACGCTAACAAGAACAGATATCTGCAGAATTGTTCTGACTGAAGAGAATTTATCCATACACCCAGTGCTGGGCAGAGCCTGCAAAATAATTTTTTTAAGTTATGCAATTTATGATGAAAATGATAAGCTAAGAGATGGGATCAGCTACATCTGTCTAAATACACTGAGGGCTGGACAAAAGAGCATGGCAGACTATGGCTAACCAATGTACTTAAACACAAGGAGAAATATGATGACATTATTTTCCATCAAGATGTAACAGGCTCTGTTTGGAAGATCTTGTCAAAGCAAGATCTCATAGCAATGGGGATAACTCATGGTCCAGCAATTCAAATAATGCATGCATTAAATGACAATCCAGGTGAAGGCTCTAGCAAAGTTTATGGGCATGCATCCAGCACTGGGCTTCCTAATGTTAAATTTTCCAGCAGAAACAAAAATGGAAGTGAAATTAAAGAAATGAGCAAAGGAGAATTAGCTGATGCCTACAAACCAGAAAGGTTTGTAAGACCCGAATGCATGGAGCTATCACAACCTGTTCTTGAAGGCTCTCCAAAAACCATGCTTCATCAGGAAACCAAACGAACATGTCAGATCATTCTTTTGACAAGTGTTCCACAGCCATTGTTATATACAGCAGCATTCTGTATATTATTCTTCATATTACTGAAACAGGGCCACTGAATCTTATTGATCCAGTCCATGAATTTAAACTCTTAACAAATACAGCAAGTTCCACAGAAAAGAATTTGAAGTTAAATTTTGTAATGAGATTTTCAGATTTGCTGCAGCATGCATAACCTCTCATACTAATGATACTATTCACTTAGTTATATGGGATAATCCTCATGGGGAAATTGTTGAATGAAAATCCAAAATAAAGAGAAATACTTGACACAATGATAAAGCAGTATTTTGGAAATTTTGTCACTATTGCAAAAGATTGCATTAGGAAACCTAGATTTGTGGAAGTGTTACAGCAAAACAGTCTTGCCTCAGAAATATTTATTACTGAAGTTGACATAGTTCCAAAATACTCTAGTTGTCACTCTAAGTATTTCCTTACAAGCGCATATATCTATCAAACTGAAACATGGGAGCAATGCTTATTCATAAGAGATGAAGCTTCACCAGAAACATGCGTAAGTCTAAAACAGAATATACATATTTATACCCAAACTCCAGAAATTAACGAAGGACAAAAAAGAAGCTGAAGAAATTAAGCTTAAAAAGCTGGAGAGAAAAGGAGCAAGAAAGATGGTAAGGGTTACAAACTGGTGAGCCTTCTTGCAGGCAACAAAGATTTGCTAGATCACTCTCATTACGACTGATATATTTTAGCCACAAATGCCTTTCACCTCATGCACAGCACATGGACTTCTTGTAGAAAATAATTTTTATTTGCTGTTCTGGAGTACTATCCAGAGTCTGCAAGCAGCGATGTGGTCAAAGCATTCAGAGAAACTAGAGTTGCATATGTTCATTTCCCAAAGCAATATCAGAAAACTGGAAAGTCAGTTTGTGAAATAAAAAATAATAATAACCAAATCTCTATCAGCAGTCAAGCTGGATTTTCTGCAGTGGCAGAACTGATCTAAAGAGATTTGTTGTTGTTGTTGCTGCTGTTTATGTCATAAGCTGATATTGCTTTGGGGAAGAATTAAATGATATACTATGTATTTGTATTGGGGCACAGACATAGCAGAGCTAAAAAGATCTCTTGCAAGCCATATTTACTGAGGCAGATAGATTAACAAACGGATGCATATCCAACTTGAGCCTGCCAATGGCGAATGGTACTATCCAAAAATTAAAATCAGCAATTCAAACATTTCTATGGCTTTTACTATCAGAAAGGTTTTCTTCTACAGTTCTCCCCACCGAAAGAAGAAGTCTCCATGACTGCACTGGAAATTCTTCAGCAAGTAAGTGTAAATAAGTTAAAAAGAATAAAGAACTATTTTTTGAATTTAAAAAAAAAAAGCCAAGAACAGAATTTTTATCATGGTGGGAAGGTATGTTGGTGGAATTTTTATTTCTCTTTTGAAAATTATGCCTCACTTTTTATTAAATGGGATGCATATGGAAACTTGAACATCTGATTAAATCAGGATCTCAGGCTTCTGAACAATCCTTCACAAACATTATCAACCTTTATCATCATCCAGGCTGTGGTAGCCCTTCTTTAGCCTGCGTACTCCTTGGGAACTGGGAGTGCAAGAGATTTAGATGCACTGTACTAAAAAATAAAATTCTTGATTTTGCTGAAATTGGAACACAGTTGACCATCTTAATTATGTATGGGGCATCAAACAAGTTTGATTATTTGCCAGTTCTGATTCTTGTAGATGATTCTGAAGAGCAAAAAAATGTTTAGTTACTATAGCATGCTATCTAATCTACTACTGCAGAAAATAGCATTATATACAAAAATCTTTGGTCATAATCTTGAATTGTATGCAATCCCAGAATCTTGCAGAAAGTACAGAGTATGCAAAGTATTGCTCTGGAACCAAAACTAATTTGAAAGAACAAAGGGCTTTTGAGGAAAACCTCAAATAAAATGTACAATAGATCAGTAGGAACTTCATGAAGATTTCTATTCATTTATGATTATGAAAAAAAATCGACATTGAAAAAGGACATTGAGAATATAGTCAAGAACACACTGAAAGGTCTCAATGTTGCAAGCACAAGTTATTTCTTTTCTAGTATTTTTAAATTCTTATGTTAGAGAATCCACTATCTCTGTAACAGAATGGAAGTAAGTACTAAAGGAAAAGATGTAGGTATAAAGCCCATGTGGCATACCAAAAGCTTGGATGGCAAGATGGAAAATAGTTCCATCGTTATATTGTAGTACAAACTGAAGTGCAAGAACAAGGACGATATAAAGGAGTACATATCAGTCACTCGCTGATTCCTGAACAGTGCCTTGAAGAATTGAAGTAAATATTTAAGTTGACTAAAAGTAAGATAACACTATGATTGCTGAAAGGGGACTTATTTTATGACATTGGCCTAGGAACAGACAAACTTCAGCAAGATGTACAAAGCATGCTGCTGAGAAAACACAGAAAGGAACATGAAACACTGATTTCCCCATTAATTGAAGCAATTCAAAGAGAAAGGAATAAGGAAAAGAATTCTGAGCTTGCATTTCAGTGGACTAAGAAAAAGAAGTGCTCCTGATAACTCATTTGTTTCGGACACTCTGGGTCAAGTTTTTAAAAGCAAGATAAAGAATTGGCTAGAAGAAAATAGAAAGAGATCTACTGTAAGTGTAGAAGTTCTAAAATATTTGCTGAACATTGCAAAATGTGCTTCAGAGGCATTTAAAGAATTTCAACAGCAAACAAAAAATACAGATAGTGAAAGATAATACTTTCAGAATATAAAATGCAAAAGAAGATATGAACACATCTGGGCATGTAGGAGTAATAGAAACTGATCTATGTACTACAGAAATAATTGAATCAACACCTTTGTTCAATAAAAAAGATGCTCTCTCTAGAAGATACATTGTATAATTTTTATCAGGAAACTGGAGCATCCTAAAAGCAAAAAATGATGCACATAATGAAGAATACAGTTTAGTATCTGAACATTATGTTAATTATGTAAGTAATCTGCCAGCAAATTTTGACAAAAGCAATTGCCTTTCTCAAAAAAGTACTGCATCTTTCTGAAGCCAAAGAATTCTGAAAAAGAAACAGTTGAACCCATGAAATGAAAGAAGGTTCAATAATTTTTCAAGAGGTATGCAGAAATATTTTGCCACTTGGATTTTGACTGGTCAATATGTTCAGTGTTTAATACTTCTTTGCAGCTGGAAAATTTGTGGAGAAACAGATTGAATGAAAGTGAACCAATGAAAGGTGAAATCTGTCAGGGGGAATCGGTTCCCAGATCAGTGAAGAAAACTCAGTTAAGGAAAATCTCACCAATGATTTAGCTGTCAAGGAAATAGGGCAGTTCCACATAAATTCAGGTCAACAGCAGCTCAGGACCTCTGAGATGCCACCATATTAACTGTACTGAAAAGCTGTGATGATTTATTTCTGGCTCAGTAGCAGCATTTTCAAAATCATAGTAAAACTAGCCATTTAAAAAAGTAACTCTGGAGAGAATGTGGGAGCTACCCATTTGCAGGAACTCCTGTTTCACTTCCCTCCTACCCCAGGGCTTCAGCCAACTTTGCAGATCTTGACAACCCCTCAATCCTTTGTGGCAACCCCTCAATCCTTTCACACAAATCTCTCAGACAAATGCACACCACGTGAAATAAGACTATGGGTGGGAGAAACATACAAGCAATTAATTTTATTTCACTTTTCCATGAAATGGAATGAGGGACTTCATATTACTATAGGACTTGCAGGATTTGGGGATGAGGCAGTGATTTTGCTGCTTGTTTTCAGCATTGCAAAGTTGACAGTTTTGACTGCAGTGGGAGCCTGGAAGTGCCCATAGAATAGCATTCCTTGGAGATTACACAAAGTAAGGCATCTGCTAGGGATGACTGAGGAATGAAATACATGGGATAGAGAAGAAAGCAAATGACAGAACTATAGCAGCCTTTTCACCAACATTTTTCAATTTGGTGCCACTCATGATGGTTGAAAATTCTGGGGAGGTCTGGTTCTAACATATTTGAAAAACACTGGTTGGAGACGGTTGCTTTACAGTAGTAGCAAGGTTTTTTCTCTATTTTTTCTCCATATAGTCAACCAAAATGGACCATTCATGCACAAGAGGAAGCTCATAGTAGGTTTATAAAGGACTTCCATACACACTTTGTAAAAATCCAAAAATGGGATGAGGAAGGGCACAAAACAACACTGTGAGACCCAAGATCTCAATAGATCAATAGACAAAGAATTCTGGGTCTTACAGGGAAGAAAAAGTGTAAAGGAGAAATGTGGAGTTAGAGCGACTAGAAAACTAAATCTCACATTTTGTACTAGATTCCACTTCACTCAGGTAACAGTTTGGTTTATCCATCAGCTCTAGAGCGGTCCTGGAATTTTATTTATTTGTTAGATTTATAACCTGTCTTTCCTTTAGAAGGTGAAGGTGGTATATTTAACATGGGCTTCAATTTTTCCCCACAATAACAAAACTGTAAGGCTGGTTATACTGGGACAAAATGATTGGCCTAAAATCATCCAATTAGTTTCAGTGATGATGGTGGACTTAAACTTGGGTCTCCCAAGTCTTAGTTCAACAACTTAACAACTACAACACATTGGTTCTCTTTTCTGACATGTCAAGGGCTGCATACCAAAAATGGACAGAACTAAGATCCAACATGTGCCTGATTTATGGGGCAAGTTGGGGAACTAACAGGTTAGCCCTTTTGCTGCTTAAACATCCCCCCCCCCAATCCAATTTTTCCCCCCTTCCAGTTCTGGTTAGTTTGGAGGAGACTACAATAATGATCCTGGATGCATGCAGCCAACCAGCCACACTTTTCAAATCCCTGTCCAATTAAATGATTTATTTATTTATCTTGCATCATTTTTAAGCTGTCCCATTCCCAGCAGACTCTGGGCAGCAAACAATAAAACAGCAGCAATACAATTAAAACAAGCAATTAATGCAGGTGAAATTCCTGGTGGGGGGGGGGGAACCCACATCATGGCATCCCTCTTCAGTATGGACCAAAGTGTGTGTGTGTCTTCAAGTCAATGTTGACTCCTGGTGACTGCCTGAACCAGCCCCTGGAGTTTTCTTGGCAAGGCTTTTCAGAAGTGGTTTGCCATTGCCTCCTTCCTACGTTGTGAGGGAATGACTGGCCCAATATCACCCAGCCGGCTTTCATGCCTAAGGGGGGACTAGAACTCAGTCTCCTGCTTTCTAGCCTGTTGCCTTAACCACTACACCAAACTGACTGTCTGGACCAAAGGCAGGATGAAATAAAAAGCCAGGTAGGTGGGAGCACCCTGTACCCCTGTGGGGAAGAGTTGCATAAACTGAGGAAGCCTGCCACCTTGTCCACATCTCATGGACCTCAGAAAGGGTGGGGAGGGGAACTGTCAGCAGTACCTATCACCACAAACAATCTACTAAATAAAAACCTAATCCCAAATTAACAGATCATTTCCAGTATATGCAATTGTTTTTATATGAAAGCTCGCTGTTGGAGAATGTTAGCATTCCCTCTATAAATTGGAAGACATTTATTATTTATTATTTATAAGTCTTCTTGTAATGTATTTAATTCATATTTATTCTAATTTAATTAATATTTATTCTTTTTACTGTAAACCGCCCAGAGTCGCTCTGTGGTGAGATGGGCAGTGACAGATTTGAAATATAAATGAATGAATGAATGAATGAATGAATGAATGAATGAATAAATA